GAAGCCAGGGAGTGGTGTGTGAAGGTGTTGCCTGTGGCACAGAGTGGGTGCTGCCCATCTTGTTCAGACATGCCCTTTTAAGATTGCCCTCTGACTTCTCAGCAGCTGTCCCGGTCTGGGTCTTTAGGATGAGTGTATTGCTTTTAGTCTGACATATCAGATGTGCTTTTTGTAACTGCAAGAAGGTGCTGATTTCTTTGTTGGGACATGAAATAAAGAGCAGGCAGAAGTGGTAGTTCTAACATGAAAAAATGTATCCAAGCACGTCTACAGTGGCCCACCTAGTCCTGACAGAAAAAAATCCTGAAGTAGCACTGACTAAAGGTATGAAGCAGCATCGTGATGCCATCCAAAAAGTGCGGGTGGTTGTTTTACCACTGAACATGCTGAAGTACAGGTTTTTCCTCCTCTCCCTACTGCTTCCTCGACAAAGGGCTGCCTTGGTTCTGGTTTTGATTAATTGCAGACTATAGAGAATCTTGACCAAGGCATCCTCTTGAGTATTAATAAGTATTAGTAACAGTTTTAATACTGTAAAAATAATATAACTTGCCTCAGCTTCTTTCCTTGCAGTTTCTTTCTTTCTTTCTTTATTCCTACAGTTTTAACAGAGACAAAATATGCTAGAAGATGTCTTAGGAATTTTTTTTTTCTGAAGCCAGTACAGTTGTTCTGTAATCAACTATATTTATAATGGAAGATCATTAGCACCTCCATTCTAGATATCTAATGTGTGCTGCCCAGAGTAAAATACAGAGGCAGAGAGATGTCATAAGGTGAACTCTGTGAGCTGGGCTCCTAGCTCTTTCACCAGTAAGGACCCGTGAGTTGTTTTCTCCATCTTACTTCTAACCACATTTCTCAGACATTCTCTCTTAAGATTAGAGATTGAACAAATTCTTCTGCTATGTTTGGTCAGGAAATTATTTGGGGGGGGGAGGTTAGTGTCATTTTTTTTCTTTCATCTTCACTTAACTACATACTACCTCTTTTTCACAGCTTGTTAAAAGCAAACACTTTAATGAGCTCTGGTTGAAAACTTTAGTTACAGAGAGGCAGACAGGAGCAAGAACACAGCAGGTTGGGAAAAACAGAGAACTCTTGTTTTGTGCTTAGTGCAGGAAAAAAATGTCTGATTCTGGAGACAGAATTGAGGCAAGTGGAGGAAGCATGTTGCTCTTGTTTGTGAGTGCTAAATGCCTATTTTAGCATTTCTTTAGCAGCCATACTTTGCTCATGGTCTCTTTTTAATCTGTGTTTCTTATTTATTTTTTTTCTTTAAGGCAAATATTGCCAAGGACAGCACAAATGATTTCCATTACATGTTTGGCTGAACTGTGTGAAGTAGGCAAAACTATCAGCCTTTTGAGGGGTCTTAACTATGTAACTTCATAATACTAGGGTTCTCATATTTGTACATGATCATAATTTCTAAAGTTCTGCTCTTTTTCACTTCAGTTAATTTCAGTAGTATAATGTTCTTTTAGAGCTTTATTTCACAGAAGTTACTGAAACATGATACAAAATTCTACTTCAAGAACTGTTTTATTTGATAGCTTAGGCTGCTGTAGGAGCCTAATAAAAATATCTATGTGCAGAATGGAAGCTAGTTTAATATTACACTGCTATTACTATAAAATATAATCTCAAAATATTTCAGACCAGAAATAATAATAGTAACCATGGCAATTTTGCTTAGAGGTTTGGAAGGATGGGATATCTGGTAGTCTTGCTCGTCTACGTGAGCTGCAATTAGAGCTGAGAAAGAGAATTGGTGATGAGGAAGAGGGCTTGGGTTTGGTCTTAAGATGCAGGTCAGTGTTGCACCTACTCTGGTGCATGTACGTTATGGTGTTCTACTGTGATGGATAACTTTTTTTTTTTAATAGAAAAACTGATGCTTGTTAACCAAAAGTGTATGGGCTTATTTCTTCTGCTGTTCTGCTGCATCTTTTGTGATGCTGTGAACTTTTTTTTTTTTAAGAAACTAGAAATGTCTTGACAAAACTTCTCTGGGTTAAGAGAAGAAAAAGCAAAAAACAAGCCAATTGTATTTTTTATTTTTGGTTTATGTATTTTGAGTTGCTGAGTATTTTTTTTTTATCTTGATGAATGTAAAGTAGGGCTGACTGGGGCGTGGGAGGGCAGAAATCTTTTTCTGTAAGATTGCAATTCATACCATTTTCAATTATTTTCTAATATTATTCTATTTTTTAATTACTTTTTCATGTTTTCATTAAAATCCATAAATGTAATTAAGAGAAGCTCAGCAGCTTTACCTAGGAGAAGGGGAATGCACAAGTGAGAGGGAAGGACTCTTCCTGATGATGCAGACATTCACAATAGATCCTCTTGATATATATATATATTATTTCCACATCTGTACCTAAATGGCAAAGCTAATTGCAATTGAGAATCGTTTCTGTACGTACTAACTAAAACTAACAGGTAAGTATCACTTAAAGCAGTTAACTTGTGACATTTCCCTGTGCATTGGCAGCTGTTTGGGAATGCTGTCAGAACTGCACCAAGTTGATTTAAATCTGCTGCCACCAGTGAGGTATTCTCAGCTCATCTTTTGCTGGTACTCGTGATCATAGGGCCATAGGGAAAGCTTGTACAGAGGTCATGTCTGGCTGTACCTTCCATCTCCCTAGAATTAGTGTGACCAGATTGAAGCATAAGTGCATGAGAGAGAATCAGTGCATGAGACAGAAGGAGACACAAGGGAGATGCTCATAGGTCATTTCTGCCCCAGTGGGCACAGGTGTGCTTAGCTCAAGTCTAAGTGAGCACATTTCCCCTGGTGTGACTGCCCTGTGTAACAGGCCTACTTGCTCTCATCTCAGCTTGTTCTGGCTTTCTATGACTTCTGCCCTATAGCGACATCAGATTTTGTGTGCTCAGCAGGAAAGGGGAAATGAGTAGGATCAAAACTTAACTCTGTTTCTTTGTATGCTTGCTTTCTATTTCTTTCTACTTAAGCCAGTTTCTTGGTGTGGTTTGTTCCACACCAAGGAGGTGAAGGTGTCATTTGCTCTATCAACAGCAGGCTGGTTTATGCTGATGTGAAGTGGTGATGAAACTGCAGGTGAAGATAGGTGAGCTGATCGATGGGATGGGATGGGATAACTTGCTGTTACCAAGTGAGGGTCGTCTTTCCCTGCTAATGAACAACTGGCTTTGTCCCATTTCTTACCCACCTACTCAGATACTCATTTGGCTCTTTAACGAGCTGGCACAAACCAGCTGTCCAACAGGAAAGCTGTGTTCTTTTTTCCCCATGTTGCTGAGCTGACCTGGCTCATGGAACTGTCCAGTGGCACAGATAAGTCATAGGAGCAAGTGATTGTGATTAGGGCCTAAGAGGAAGGGAGTGAAATGAGCAGATAAATCAGCACAACTGTCCTATTTTTTATTCTTTTACATTTTATTTGAACCAAGTTTCCATGTAGCCCAAATCTATATTCATCAAAAGTTAAACCATATGTCTCACTGCTCAAAGCAAAACAGTAAAACATGTTAAAGATTTTTGTTGCCTAGCTTTTGAAACACTCTTATTTGGCTTTGAAAAGGCGATTTCTTGTTCTTTTGTAGCACCATGGCTTTGACTGTTGAGTTAAAAAAGCATGTGTGCAGGAGCAGTGTGCTTCTAGTGCCTTTATTAGGTGGAGTCTAGCCTCCTGTTTTGTTTAACTATGGTTTATTATGAACAATAGTTTAACTTTACAGTATCTCATGTAATGATGCATGCTTCAACCTGTGTGGAATGTGTCTTCTCATACAAGCAGAGTGACTCATTTTTCACAAATGCTGAGGCAGAAGGCTACATCAGAAAACATTATGTATTAAAACCAGTGAATGACCTCCCTTCTAGAATTTGCAGCTAATGTTCTGGTATGCACTATCTGGTCTCGAAGGTGTGTAAAAGTCACAGCTCCTAATATGCAAGATTTGATAGAGATTGCTCAGACCCTGTTAACAAAAAATCCAGATTCAGTACTTCTTAAGGTAGTTTCAGTGATCTATGAAGGAAAAAAAAAACAAACCACAAACTGACAAGGAAAATATCTTCTTTCTTTGTCTCCCTCTCCATACACATAATGATTTTGAGTAAAAGAATTGAATGTGTCTTTAAGAAGAGAGTCTGTGCAATGCAAGTTGAATTTCAGACATACTATGATTATTGTGAAGTTTCTGGATGGGACAAATTCCATATTCTGTTATGGTTTTAAAGAGAGAGATTAGAAAATTGTGATTCTTAGTTTTTGTATTGTATATGTCACTAAGAACTGGAACAGATAGTCTAGCTCTGATCATGTAGCCTTATATGGAATAAGGAAACCAGCCATTTCAACCTTGAGATTTTTAGGTAATAGTGTCATGTGTTAGCGTAATTGTCCTGCCTATTTGTTCATGAAGCAAGACTCAAATTAGCTAAGTGTCTTATTTTAGCATTTTTTGTAATAACTTGTTAGTAATGTGGCTTTTTTCAGCTGGAACTGATTTTATAATTCAAACATCTTCTGATGCTCTGTAGAGATGTAAATAGAAGTGGAAGTGAGATAATAGTCAGAGAATCTGCAGTTGGAGAAAATACCATCTAGTGTCTGAGTAGAAGGAGAAAGGGTAGTTTGACTTGGCTGGATTGGCACCATCTGAACACAAAGAGCAGGGCCAGACATCCCAGAAATACAAGAATGGCTGTTTAAGGCCTATGGTTACTCTGTGAGACTTTGCTCCCATGCAAGAAATGTATTGGTACTATTCACATCATTCAACTTCAGTCTTCTGGAAACTTAGCATTTTGAAAGTTTGTCATTCAGATTTTGAATTAAATTTGTTCAGGAATTGATGCTTTGTAGCAGGAGCTACACAAGATTAGAGTTTATGGGGCCTGTTTATTTGAAATGACTCAGGAAAGTTTGAGATTTCTGTTTATAAGCAGCTCAGTTTGTATGTGCAGCACATCTCATTCGTTCCCTCCGTTTTTTCCCCAGTTCATTGCTGCGCTATGGTGGAAACCTCTCTCTTCAGAGTGCCATGAGTGTCCGGTTCAACAGCAATGGAACTCAACTGCTGGCACTGCGCCGGCGCCTGCCCCCTGTCCTCTATGACATCCACTGCCGACTGCCTGTCTTCCAGTTTGATAACCAGGGGTACTTTAACTCATGTACCATGAAGAGCTGCTGCTTTGCAGGTGATCGTGATCAGGTAATAAGCAATGCTCTCTGGAGTCTACAGAGCTTCTGGGAGTGGATGAAAACACGTTTGTAGGGGTTGTTTGGTGGTTTTTTGTTTGCTTGTTTCAATTGGTAAAACAGGAGACAGAACATATGTAGGGTTACTTCAGAACTGTTTTGCAACATAAACTCTGAATGAAGAAAAATGTATATTAAAGCATGTGATAAATTTTACCTCTTGGTCAACAGAAGGTTGTATTCATAAAAGAAATACTTGCTAAGCCTTTTTAGGTCCTCTGAATATGATTTTAGAACCATGACTGGACAATAGCATTCACGTATGATAAGGAAGCGTATTACTTTCATTTCAGTATTGCTTTTGAGTGTAGTAGAGACAATCTCACCTAAATGTAAATATTGTGAATTTTAAAAATCCTTAATTCTTCTTTCAATTTCCCTTATTTTCCATACTGATGGAAATTGAGATATTGCTCAGTGTTCTGCAAGTGGTGATGGTGTGGGGTTATGAAGGAATGGTTTGTTCCTCTACTGAGTATGGCAGGACTATGTCCCTACTAATAGGTCATTCATAAAGTGACTAACAGCAGTTTACATATTTCTAGAGCTGAACATTGTCCTTGGACAGCTGTATTTGATTACCAATAACAATGTTCGGGGACAAAAGATTTATTTTCAAAACACAATACTGCAAAACTGAAATCTGAAAATTTCTTTGCTGTCATCAATAAAGGTCCTGCAGTCAGAATTCAGTCATTAATTCTATTGCTGCTACAGGAAGCAGAGTTGAGCTTTTTTCACATAACAAGTAGAAAACACATTTGCGTCACTGAGCTTAACATTGTGACAAATGAAAATGGGAAGTCTTTGTGTTGCATGCTGTTTTTAAGTTTTACATGGATTTTGGCAGGAGAATGATAATTCAATATGAAATCATCTTGAAAAAATAGAGATATTTGCTGTAAAGAATGATAAACACATGTATTGTTGAAGGAATAAAAAAAGAGCTGATGATTTGGGGTCCACTGTTTAGTAAGCCTAAAGATGGCACAGATTTCTCTTTTAGAAATCAGAGTTAAGCCTGCATACACTCTGACAAACAATCTAGCTACCTGCCTGTTACTGAAGGTCTAGAGAGAAGCCTTAGCGTCTGTTTCGTTTAAGCAATTTTCTCATGGGTACGGGGTTATTTATTTTTAATGGGAAGAATACAGCTGTTTTGTATTGGGCTGATGCTGTGCTTGGGAAGCCTGCTTTTTTTTTTTTTTTGAAAGCTTGATGTTCTTTTGGCTGGGTGGATCTTTAATTTGGATAAGTACCAGTACACAATGGTACTAGTGAGTTGGAAATCAGAGCAAAAGGAGATCTATTCTCTTACAAGTGCTATAAGAAGCTATTAGGAAAGATGAGATTTAATATGGAACATGAGAGAGCTGTGATCTGATATTTAGGTACAGACTTGTATCTATCATTCAATGGGAGCGAAAGAAAGATAATGAATCTGCAGGAAATTCCAACACATGAGCCAGTTGTATATGTCTAAACCTGGCCAGCGTGCTCAAATTCATCTGGTTATGTTTATCAGCAGTGTAGAAGGTCCTTAGATACTGTCCTTTACAGAGAACCCAATTCCATTTCCAGGTTTGCCTAGGTAAGAAAGTTAGGGCTGGAACCTACTGAAGATAGACAAATTGAATAAGAAAAGAAACCAAAACAATATTTTTTGAGATCAGTCCTTCTATACAACTAGTGTGCCTCTACTTCTTGGTCTATTTTGTGAAAATGAAATAATGCATATAAGAACTGTCCCCAAAATTGGAACTACCAATAACAACAAAAAATCTGTTTTCAATTTAGTCTGGTTCCAGCCCCTGCCCCCCTTTAATATTGCTGTCTTTTGCCTTAATAAAGAAAGTCTTTCATTCAAGATCCGTATGAAGTCCCTACTGAGTTTCATAGAATTCCTTGCTTGTATTTCCATGTAGAATCAAAACTGTGTAGGCTAAGGTTCTTTGCACAGGGGTTGAGTGGATGTAGGAATAAAAAAAGTTCTGTTCAGATTATGAGTATCACTTGTGGTAGGAAAGATTCCTCAGAAGTTTTCTTTTGTTGCACCTCCCATATTATCTGTCTCTGACTTTTCATCTTCATTAAACTGATAATTCAATCTTTTTTTTTTTAAAGTGTCTTAAATACTTAGGTTTTAATATTTCGTACGTTGTCTCTAGTAATTAAAAAATGTGACTCTTGTTCAGGAACTATCATGTGTTCTCTGAACAGTTAGTTCATCTGATAAAGTTACACTTTTACTCTATTTTAACCTTAGTGAGAGAAGGTGTATCCTTAATTCACCATTGCTTGGTGGTCATCACAGGTACTCAGTAGTTTGAATCAAGCTCTCCTGGCTTGCCACTCAAATGGGGAGCCTGCATCTAGCAGATTTGCAATGATTTGCATACCACCTGCATAGCACCTGCGATGCAAGTAGAATTGAAACCTCTTAACAATGAAATACTCTTAATACTTTAAGGAGCAAAAGCCATAAAGATCCACCTGTTAATCCCAGTGATTTATTTTATTTTGTTATTATTTAAGTCTAAAGCAATACAATCTGAGGTGCTTTAAATGGTTTTGAGTTTTTACAGAAATGGGGGAAGAGGTACAGCACAAGCAAGGTAACAAAGATCTGAAGATGAAGAGAGGATGAACAGCCTTGCTGCTTTTTGTGTTTTTAATGGTGTTGTTTTCCTCCAAAAGCACTGTTGCCCTTGTCAAGTTGATTTGAAAACCAGTGAATAATATATGCAAACATTTTCCTTAGAAATGCCTCAGTCTTGTTTATTCCTACTGCCAAACCATGAGAGGCGGTGTTTAGTTGGTGCTTTGTTTGCACCCATTTATAATTGCCTTCATTTGTTTCTCTCTGAACTCTGTCTTTTGTCTGAGTGAAATGACCTCATTCACGTGCCACTATTTTTTTCTCTTTTTGTAGGAGAGCTCTGATGTTGGCAGATAAATATGTTCAAAGTTGTATGCTGTTGCTGTATCCAGGAGCTCACTTGAGTCATACAGCCGTTAAAGGATAAGAAGGATAAGATAGGCTAGATGGATCATGTGTGATGACCAGAGTGTAATCTGACCATCCTTCTGGTACAGGCATCCAGGACCAGATTCTTAAAGCCATTTCTTATTTGTCTAACTCCCACTGATTATACAGTACACAAATGTTAGTTTACATACAAAGCATAAACCATGTGAGAATCTCAAGTTGTGTCAGTAGGACTGGTGGGGAACTTCCATTCTACCTGTCAGCATCAGAATTTGGGAAATGTTATTTAAATAGTAAGGATTTTTTGATAGACAAGTATAGAAGTCCTCTTCCTGGGTCTGAGAATACAGGAAGTATTATGGAGCTTCAGGTACTCGTGTGTATTTAAACATAGGAGCTTTGTAATGACGATGG